CGAAATTACAAAAACAAACTAAACTTTTATGTTTCACTAGCTCGAATGAAATATCCTGAATTGTTTTAATTAAATCAACAATATTAATTGTAATTTTTTTGCGAAAAAAAAATCAAAATGATTTCTTTACCTTGCGAAATATTTTGATTAAAACCAATAAAAATAACAATGCCCGAATAGAATAAAAAAATTGCTAAAGCTATTTTAATCAAAGCAAAACCGGGTACATTGCTCCTGCTTCTTGCATGTGCTTTGCACAACACTTAAAGTTTCCAAAATAAAATTCCCTACCCTTTTCTGTGTCCAGATTTCTGCTGTTGTTAAGTGTCGTTTGCAGCTTATTCTGACTTTATTATCGTTTCATTTAATAAAGAATTGATTGATTCTCTACCCGTTGCAACACAACATAAATGAAAATTCGCGGATACGAAACGTTTCTGTAAAGTCATCGCATAGCTGATTCTTGCGAGTACACGTAAGCAAAGCAAAAGATATGGCAGTTAAGGAGAGTTAGAGAGTAGGCATGTATGTATAGAAGAAAGAGAGAATGGGCAGCGAAGCAAATGAAGACTGCACGAAGTTTTCAAATCGTTTTAACACATAATTAATCATGGATAGAATGATTAGGAGAAGTCCTCACACAGAGAAGAAACGTAAATAATAGCCCTCTTGATCGCACATTACCAAAAATACCCAGCCTTTTCAATTTGAGACCAATAGGTCGTCCAGTTTGCCAAAAATTGCTATATTGGCCTCAATTTGCGGCAACAAAACGGTCTCTAAGGCCGCGGCCACATAGCCCATATTACTTCTAGCACAAAGTTGTATCTGTACCCCAAGTTTGGGGTTTGCAGCTTTAAAGATGTGGTCATGAATAAGGAACAGGCTCAGAGAGAGAGACATTCGCGCTTATATATATACAGGTGGAAATATTAAACCTTACGTTTTTAGATCACAAACAAACAACTAATTAATTTTCCATCTCTGTATTAATCTTAGAGTTGCTCTGTCTTGCTCGTACTCAAAAATTACCACATTTTCTACAATAACTTTTATTTTTGTCGTCAGGGGACTCCACCACCGGGAGATCACGTGATTACTTCCACAAAGTTCGATAGGCTTAGTTGGGAGGTAAGGCTTGACCTACATATATGATTTAATGTAGTTTACAGATTAAAAAGATTAAAGCATGAGACAGGTTCGGTTCTGATACCGCCTACCTGTTTGGATAACTACAACAATGTAACAGTTTCAACACTATCATAATAAAATAACAATGGTAGTAATGCAGTGCCTCGTAAAGGTGATTGTTTAAGGTCATTCGTTGAACCATTTGAAATCTTGTTAGTTTTTTTTTTTTTTAAATCTTAAACTTTGAAATTAAAAAACGGCCCACTTCAAAGTATTTTCCGTTTAACTTCATTTTATAAAATTATAACTTATTTTAAGGGACTGTCAGTAATAAATGTATGACTTTCGGTCTCAAATTAATTTTCTCTTCTTCTGAAGCAACATGTATATATAATATCAGTCTATGTTAAGGTTTTACTTCGCTCAGTTTATCGCGATTCTATTTTAACAACAACAACAACAAAAATTAACTCCTGTTTACTCTCTCTTTGGTTTTTGAAAATATGATATTACCTCAGTTTAAAGTTTTGTTCAATTCCAAAGCTGGTGTGTGTGTAGTTTTTGTCATTGAGGGCGGAAAAAAAGTCCCGTTCAGTCTCTATTAAAATCAAGTAAGCAAGATTAGCACCCGTTCAGTTTCTTTGTCAGTCAGGGAGAAACTTAGCATCTGTTCAGTTCCTTTATTACTCACGGGGAACTTAGCATCCGTTCAGTTCCTTTATTACTCATGAGGAACTTAGCATCCGTTCAATTCCTTTATTACTCATGAGAACTTAGCATCCGTTCAGTTCCTTTATTACTCACGGGGAACTTAGCATCCGTTCAGTTCCTTTATTACTCACGGGGAACTTAGCATCCGTTCAGTTCCTTTATTACTCATGGGGAACTTAGCATCCGTTCAGTTCCTTTATTACTCACGGGGAACTTAGCATCCGTTCAGTTCCTTTATTACTCACGGGGAACTTAGAATCCGTTCAGTTCCTTTATCACTCATGAAGAACTTAGCATCCGTTCAGTTCCTTTATACTCATGGGGAACTTAGAATCCGTTCAGTTCCTTTATTACTCACGGGGAACTTAGCATCCGTTCAGTTCCTTTATCACTCATGGAGAACTTAGCATCCGTTCAGTTCCTTTAT